CCTCATCCTTGGCCAATTTACTTAATTTTGCTAAGCCTCAATTTCTTTATATATAAAATAGGAATAGCAGCACCTTCTTTTCTGAGCTGGTTTGAAAATCAAATGAGATAATCCACAAAAAACCCTTGGCACTTGCAGTTAGCACTCAGTAAGAGGTCCATATTACTACATGACTTCATCATCTCAGATTTCATGATTCTAACTTTGACATGACAGAGTTTAAGACAAACTTGAATTTTACTCACAAAAATCCAATCAATAATTAAGGATTCATTTTTATTTCACAATAGCAAAATAATTCCATTTAAAACAAATTTTTCCCATTAGGGGAGCTGTTACTTTAATACCCTTTATGTTATTAATATTATATTATTATAAAACCCCACAATGATCAATAAAAACCTAGTCTATTGTTATTATCCATAATATTAAATCTCAAACAGACACATTTCAGAACTAAAATGAAAGCAGAGAAACAGTAAAAAAAAGGTGCTAAAAATAAAGCTATAAAAATGTATTCTCTTTACTTTAAAGATATTCTTGATTTTTTTAAATTTTTTCTTTATATTTTTAAATGTAACTTTCAGAAAATACATGGAGCTGAAATGACACTATTGGTTCATCAACAGATCTGCAATTTCTTTTAAGTCAAGTGGCATATAATAAATTGATCAATACCAGACTCAGTTATTCATTATTACTCTTCTCCAAAGATGGTTACCGGTCTTTAGTTGCCCATTCTGTTTCTCATTTTGCCAGAAAATAATAATCTTCTCTAGCCTTCCACATCCTGATGTAAAAATAAACTCTAAAAACATTTTCCCACTTCTTCCTGTCAAATATCTATTCACTCCCTCTTCTTTAATTAGAATGTAATAACACGTAGCAAATAAATATTATAATTTTAGGTTTTTCTCTTATAAAATAATCTTATTTTTTTCTTTTTCTTTCAGAGGGAGTCACTATACTCTGGTTTATAGAACTATCACTCTCCCCAACTCATCTTTTAAAAATGTAAGTACATGCATGTATGAAAATACAAACATGTATGTACATAGGGGCTTTCCATTTTACTAGTGAAATAAGTTCACAGCATGTATGTAAAATCCACTGACAATTCTGGACGATGGAGGCTATCAGCTCGTGAATTCTAGAACTGGCTGGCTTTGTACAATCATCATATCCAGTGTCTCAAACTAAATTCCCCCCCTTCAATATGGCAGAAATTATGTTCTTTAGGTTTAAAAATCTAAATGTCATTAACCATGAGCAAGTTCTCTCTCCTGACAGAGGCACCGCTCTTGGTGGTGTCTTCCTGTAGGATACAGCTTGCTGTCCTCAGACAGTAGGTATTTACAAAGGAAAAGAAAGAATCCTGGTTAGGTAGCAACATGCTTGCATTTTTATGCCTGGTTTAGCCTGTAACCCTGGTTTTCATTTTGTGGTGTGCACCTGGCTAGGTTTCCATATTCTTCCAGATCTCTTTGTAGTTTTCACAACAGCATGAACTAAACACGACATGCATCATGGTCACTTGCTCCTCATCACTGAAGTTATGGGTGGATGGGTCAGACTAGGCGTCCTTTTATAATTGTAAGTCTGGACACTGCTCTGGTGGGAGGTGGAAAGCTGAAACATTTTAATAGCAATCTTTCATTTTCTGGTAAAGCTAAAATTCCCAAAGTTTAAAATAACCATCACTGTAAAGTCCAAGAAGGCTAACTTTCCCCTAGAAGGTGGACTTAGCTAGTCTCATCAGCAGATAAAGATACTGACTCACATGTGTCCATTTGCCTGCTTATTAAGAGTGTGTTTTCTGGGTCTCCCTGGTGGTGCAAGGGGTTGGGACGCAACCTAAGAGGCTGTCTGCAGCCACTGCAGCATGAGTTCGATCCCTGGCCAGGGAGCAACCCACATGGTGTGGCAGACCTCTCCTGACTTGCCTGCTGCTCCCCTCAGCAGTGTGTTTCAGTCAGTCTGCCTGTTCTGCTTCCCATTCTGTCTCTGGTGAATCCTCTCGCCTTAGCTAGGACCTTGTGATCTCTAAAATAAGCATTTGTTAAAAAAATGCATAAACAGCATATTAAGCTATCACAAATCTAGTTAAACAGGATAGAAAGTTTACTCACAATTTTAACATTTTATAATCTCTTTAATTTCACAGGAAATACAATATCTTTCTTTTCCAGGGGAAGGAAGCAAACATTTACTGTGTCCATTATACATCACTCAGGCACCATGCTAGCAACAAGGCTGTGCAGTAATTTTTTTTTAAGATTTATTTATTTATTTATACAAGCACTGGGTACAATCAGAAGCACGGGAAGGTGAGAGAATTCACCAGAGCCAGAGCAGGGAGCAGAGCAGGCAGACGGACCAAAGTACACTGCTGAGGGGAGTAGCGGGTGGCAGGAGAGGTCTGTGCGCCATGTGGGACCCTCCTCTGGTGGCCGGGGAGCAGCCGGGGATCAAACCGGCGCTGCAGAGGCTGCGGGCAGCTTCGCAACCCAGCGCTCAACCGCTGTGCCACCGGGGAGGCCCTGTGCAGTAATTTATATTTAAACTGTATCTTATCGCCCTACAATTAAAATTTTAACACATAAATAAGTTTCTTCCTACCTCTATCACTGATTATGTTACTTTGGAAAACTAAAAAGAAAACTAAAAAGAAAAGTCTATTAAGTGAGAATTTAATATTACTAATATAGTTCATTCCTCTCCTATAGAACACTATTATGGAACAAAGCTTTCCACTTTGGAATTTACCAGATACTGGTTTACATCTTTCAGCACTTTAGAAATTTTCACTATATGAACCATTTCATTTTAATGAAAATATTTTAAAGTTTACTATGAGTATCTGTAGAGGTTTAGCCAAAATGTCTAGAACATGAATCTACTTTTTGGGATAACTCAAAGATGGAGATCACAGTGTTATGAGCAGAGGTTCTAGAACAAGACTGTACAGATATAAATCCTGGTACTACTTACTTAGTTACTACTTACTGAGTGATCTTGGATACATTAACTTCCTTGGGTCTCGGTTTCCTTATCCATAAAGTAAGGACATTCCTGATATCTACCTATTAGGGCTGTTCTCAGGATTAAAGATGATATATGCAAGATGTTGAGAACACAGATGCAAAGTATATATGAAATGCTCAGTAAGTGCTCAGTAAATAATAAATTATAGAAGTTTTAATTTATTAAGGTACTGAATTCTTCAGGAAGAATATGGGCCATTTCTTTCTACAATACTATATGGATCAGACGGCTGTGTTTTTTGAGTTTCTATATACAATATAGGTTTTTAATATATTCTGCTTTCCTATTTTCTTATCTCCATGTTATTTGTTAATTGATGCCTTTAAAATACTTCTTTTGATTGTATGTGTCACTCTACTGTAGGCTGAGGAACCAAAACACTGTGATGTTTAGAAATTTGTAAGGAGAGGAATCCCTAGTGAGGGCCTCAGGGGTTTTCCCAAGAGTAAGGTGCATAAATGTTAGCCTGGACTCAGTAACATCTATTTCCACTTAAAAGATCTCTCAGGCTTATTATGTTCTCAGCTGTGTTTGGGAAAGTTGAAAGTATCAAATAAATGACCTATGGATGAATGAGGTGCTATTGTTCTAATTCTGTCAAGCATTAGTTTAATCAAAAGCAAATGAAAGGTTGCTTTCTTCATGTTTTGCACTGTTAATTTTCTACAATTATTAATCAGCTATCAATGTAATCATTAAATGTTCAACCCAAATAATGTTTTTAGTGTAAAACCTGAATCAATATAAAGATCCTACATTTACAAGACTTAATTTCTAAAACTTGGGTATTATCAATTGTGCTAGTATACAAAATTCAGGCAAAATACAATGTTTTTGTGCAACTGAAGTCATCATTCTGATGACTACTAGTTCAATGAAAGGGAGAAAATATGAATTGTCAAAAGGGTTAAAAATAGCAATTAATGGATAAATTAGAAAGAAAAGAGAACATAAGGATTATAAATTCTTGGAAAATGCCAAAGTTGTAAGGAAATTTAGAAGAAAAAATCAATGGAAAGATTATAGACTAATAAAGAGAAATAAGGGCTCATTTACCAACTTTACTCCCGATCCCCAACTGAATAATATGATTGCAATTTAATATTCAGTTTAGTAGCATCCCTACCTTTTCCCTCTACTGGAAAGGCACAAGAGAGACTTTGGTAAGATAACCGTGTGCAACAGTGATGATCAGACCTTCTGTTCAAGTGGCCGAATGCCAGAATTGGCACAGTGAACCCCACCCATGGGATATCTGAGCGTGAGCCAGAAACTGGCAGCCACCAGGCCAAAATTTTTATATTCATATATCTTAAAAATTCATGTATATTTTGCATTCCACTCTATTGCATGTCAATGTATTTTTAATATAAAAATGACAGTTGAATTACTTAACTCCTCCCATTCCCAAATCTACAAGTAAAAATTGATGTTCCAGGAAGCTCTGCATTGTGGTTCTTGTGGCTTCCCTTTCCCCTTGAACAACACCAATATGGTCAGAGGTAAGTGAAAATCATGGGTGAAAATGATATCTTATTATAATATGATTAGCTCGGGTCGCAAATAATCCACAACAAATTAATGACGCAATAATCATTAAGTGAAAGCTCCAATTTTCATGGAACTCAGTAAAACTAAGAAATCTCAAAGAAAGGCAAGTGGGCCCTGCAATCTCAAAATGCCCTCTTAGCTTTGGAGCTACAGTTCTTATAAAAAGATCAATAATGATGTCTTCCTGCTCCAATACGGAATTAGTGTTTCCCTAAATACATTAACTTCAGAAGTATTGAATTACCCAGGAGGACCAGCACGGCGTGAAACAGTTCTTGACAAACTAGTGATCACCAGTACAGAGAACCTACTGCAGACTGTGGGAAATGAAATGACACAAGCAAAGATAGCAGGATGAAAGGTAGCAAGCTCCGTCTCTGAAAATCCAGAAAGATGACACTCACCCTCATCCTGGTAATCTGGCAGAAATGGTGCATCTGATGTGAAAGGACCATGGGTTCCACTGTGATTATCATCAGAGCTGTCCTGTCCAGGGTAATTTTCAGCCTGGTCTCCCCCTGGGAACAAAACAGAAAGAAGGTCATATTTGGAATACATATAAAGGTCTTTGAAATTTCTTCTGGCATTCACACAAAAAAGATAAATCGTTATGCTTGATGGACATGGCCACTATCTTTACCATATGAAAAACAGATTTAAAAAGTTCAACAGCCAATTTACCTGGATGGTGAAATTTTCACTCAAGAACTTTCTCACTAACTTAGAACTTATAGCTTAGAGTGGAGAACCTCTCACCACCAGAAACTTCTCCATCACACTTAAAATGAAAACAGTTATGTAAACATGTACTCATAAATACTATGTCTCCATTAATTACAGTCTGTACCCTGACTGCCTCCTTCACTTCATATTTCCAAGTGAAACTGAATAAATTACAGAAAAGTTTAGCCTTCTACACATAAAGTAACAAGGTCAATATTCTTTCCTTCTCTAAAACACAAGAGAAGTAAATAGAGAGCTTAGACTTCGCTGGATTCTATTTCAATTTAAATCACTACTTGTTTTGCAATCTTAAGAAAGTTCTCTCTTTATAATTCTAGTTTACAGCCTATGCAACCAACCTCTTAGGAATTCTAAAAGCCATAGGAAGGTAATATTTGTTCTGCAAAATGGCTCTGATGAAAGGTAATGTATATACAATACTAAATTATGCAATTAAAACAGTGCTAATCCCTTTTGGGTGTTTTCTACATACATTGGATTATATTTTTGTAGAAGTGGCCCATCCTATTACAATACTTTAAAAGGTTCAGAGGAAGATGTAGCTCATTCAGAAACCAGAAGAAAAGGCTCTGAATTGCAAATGGCTTTCCTTAAAATCCCCCAAACAGAGGTACAGTCTGCTGGTAAAAGGACACCGACAGCTGCTCAGTTCATTTCACAAACATGAAAACAGGATTTTCAGCTGAATTTAATATTATCTCAAATACTAATTTCCAAAGGAAATCGCCAATGCTAATATCAGTAAATACTGTAGAATTTTGGCCGTGGATTTCAACTAGGGAGCAGTGAAACCAAACAACCTACACAGAATCTGTATTGCCTCACTTTAAAGGTTTATTTCCTACAATTAAACTAGAAGGGTAAGGAGGATATAAAATGATAAAAAAAAAAAAGAGAGTGACTGTAGCCTTCTCTTTCCATAAATTAGATGTTCATATCTAGACTCTTTTACCAGTGCTCAGATGTAGCAGGTACATGTCCATAACTGAGTTGAACCTGCAGACACAGGACTTTAAAAATAAACTGTAGAGTTTATTGTGGAGAAGAAAGTAAAATTAAAGCAGAACCTTACAGTCACTGGTTGATACCAGAAGACATTTTCTCCTTTATTAGGTTATTGATTAGTATATAAACTTACAGTTATGCTTAAAGTATCACCATGAATTTTCCATTTAATCTAAAAAACCCTAAATACTGGACTGAGGGTTAAAGTGCTCAAATTTTACATCACTGCAAAGCCACTAAAATTATATTTTATCTACACAAACTAAATGGACTGCCTGATAGGTAACATGAAAGTGATGTAAGTTTAAAAGAATTAAAAATGTTTGAATCAACTCAAAATCTATTTTTTAAAAAGTAGTTTGGGTTGTCAAGCAAAATTTAACATTAATTGGATCTACTGATGTTATTCAACAACCATCAGTCTGGGCTCTTCTGCTTGCTTCAGAATTTTGACAAATTTACTCTCACATAGTCTGGCTTTTTTTTTTTTTTAATAAGCAGACAGAAGGGGCTTTGTTTTAATTTTTTCAATGAACTGTCTACTTTGGAATAATTTTAGATTAATTGTAAGTATTACAAAAGTAATACAATGCCCTCTTTACTCAGTTTCTCCCAGTGCCAACTCCTTACATAACTAAATGGGTACCTTCCTATTAAGTAAACCACAGACTATTTGAATTTAACCAGTTTTTCCACTGTTCTCTATGAGCCAATCCAGGATATCACATTGAATTTAGAACTTCCACTTTTTAAAGTCTCATTCAAAATACTTGTTTAGATTTAGCATTAAATTTATTTCTGATGGGAAAGTCACTCCCACATGATTCTTATGGTTTCTGGGCATAGTTACCCAAGACGGGCTTTAAATGGCCACCCCTGTGTCAAATACAAGACTGTGTCTCCACAAAAGCTACAACAACAAAGGTATAGAACTCAGTGCAGCAAAAACAGAGCCTAGGTCAATACTAAGACTGGCTGCAGTGGGAAAATATTGAAAAATAGGTTTTACATCCAAGCATAATTAGTTCCTGATGATGGAAATGTGATAAGTGTTTTGAGTGTCACATCAAGTGGCCCAACTCCCTTGGGCACATGCAGAGAAAAAACCTATAATGTGATATAAATAGCTACTCCCATGTAATTACAATGATTTCAACTACTCAAGATGCATGGGTGAAAAATTTCATAGAAGAACCAGCAATGACTATGGTCATTTTGGATTTAAGTTTAGAACATCTCTTTCCTTTACAGCACAGCCACGAGTGATCTCTGGATTCATCTGTAGTCTGACAATCACAGCTCCAAGTGGCCACTACTGTAGTCCAGTGGGATCAGACATAAATGATCGCAAACTATAGTGACAGACATTTCCACTCAGCAGCTCTACAATTAGGGCTTAGAACTCCATCTGCTTAGAGTGGCTTTCCCCAAGCAAGACCCCTGCCGCCAGAGACACTTTCCCATTGTAACATGCTCAGAATCAATATATTTCTATACAGATATATATTCTAACACACAATATCTCCATTAATCACATCCACTAGTTCCAGTCCCTTCTCTTTGTATTTCTAAGCAAGATCTAGGGGAACTGTATCAAGAGTTCACCTGCTATTAGCTGGTAATTTGCTCTTCTATCCTAAGTGTCATAAGAATCGGGCGCTAGATACACTCCTTAGTATATTCAATGGCAGGTTCTCCACAGAGTATCGTGCTGAGAGGCCTATAAGGGGGATGATTTCTCTATTGTTCTTTCCTGAGAGTCAAACTCAATTTTATTCATGCTCCATAGAGTGATAAGTTGGGAATTTCTGAGGGTTGGAGCAGAAAGATAAAGCAGCTTTGTGTCAGGTGTAAGGTAATTATTTGCTCGAGTTTCTGTGCTATTTGTTTTTATTCCCTGTGTTTTCATTAACAGTTAATGAGTTTCCCCCCTTAATTCTGAAACAATAGCGTGGCCACTAGAAGTTGGATTTTTTTTGCCATGGATTCAACCAGCTGTTGCTGCTCCATAAACTTTATGGAGAAGTAAATTAAACTGCTAAAAACTTTCATTTCCTAATTCAATTCCAGATAAAACAGAGGGGAAAATGAACCATGATAATGTTCCCTTGTAACTATTTTGACTTATAGCAAAACTACCTGATTCTTAACCTTGCAGATACAATTTAGGGACAAAAATAGGCCACAATGATAATTTCATCAGAGATGAAAAAAGACAGAAGGTAGTTTAAGCATAAAAGAGAACAAATAACATGAGAACAAATAACATGTAAATACATATAAAATACACTAGCTTATTCAATATGCAAGGGTTCAATGGTTTTTCTCCCCCACGTTAGTAAAAGGTCATCTTTCATTTCTCTTCTAATTAATTGTGAGCTATATTATAAAAACTTTATTCACTGCTGCAACCAACTGTTTATATAGTTTGGTTTAAAACTTTCTATGGTTTGCTATCATTTCACCAAGTATCTCCAGACAATATAACAAAATTGAATTAATGTAAAATTATCTGTGGTTGTTGGGGTTTTGTTTTTATTGTTGTCACTGGAAGGGAACACACAACTTCTGCCTCGATTTAATATTTAAGAACCCATGAGACGCACAGTCCTCTTAAAACTAATAAATCCTAAAAAAACGCTATAAATAAAGTTCTCTGATCCAAATCCAGTTAGTTTTCATGCTTGATGGCATTAATATTGCAAGATTTTCATGAACCAATTTAATAGTAATGCAGTTCCCCAAGATGAACTATGGCAAGATTAGCAAAACCATAGCTTATTATTCCTTCTTATAACCACTCACCTAAGTTATTGAACCTAATACTAACTAAAGAAATATGTTGGGCACCTATGTACCTGTATATATGAAATGTTACATGTAAATATATGGAGCACATTTCCAACACCAAAGCTGAAGTTCTGTCAATACTTCCATTATAAATTACATACCATTTTGCACATACTCATGCATTAGAAAATGTATGGTGTTTCCCAAAGAACATCTTAAAGGCTTCACCGATTTCTAAATATCCATTTGGACTTGCGTGGTTAGTTCCTGTGATTAATCCATGTGTAGTGAAGGTCTCAAATTCTTCTCTGTTCTCTATAGTCTGACTTCCTGCCCATCTCTTTCTTCCCCCTCTTACAACTAGCCATAACTCAATGTATAAATATTCTTTTTCTCTCCCCCCCAAGGCCCTGGCAGTGAATGTAATAGTACAGAATGTCATTAAGTCTACAGAACAAATGATGGGCTAGGTAAAGAAAGTTTCCATTTATCAGTCTTTTAAAAAGTTGCTCCAACTAGATCTTTACTGTGTAAGAAATAAATTGAACCTGACTAGTTGTTGTTTTGAGGGGTGGGGGGGGTCAGGATGCTGTTTACTAATTTTATAATCATGCCAAGAATAACAAACCTCTTAAGAATCATTACAGACATCCTTTGTGGAGAGAGCACAGTTTAAGTGATCAGAAACAGAAGCAAAGTGATGAGATGCTTATGGCACAATCACTACAACACCTGTGAATCCAACAACCAAAAGGGCAGCACAGCTTAATAATATTTCCAAAATGAACTACATCTGTCAGTGGTGGGGTGGACAGGAAATTGCCCATGGGGAGCCAATTCAAAAGTTCTTTCTTTTCCCTGTCCTTCAAAAAAATCTTCCGGCTCCTTCATGATGCAGTTCTTCCTTTTGACCAGTAGGGTGGGCTGCAGTGTGTAGCATCATCCTAGTTCTTAAAAAAGAAAAGAAAAGAAAAAAGGT